CATCAAAGGAGTTATCTTAACTAGGGACAATCTAGCTCGACGAAACTGGCAAGGCTGCAAAAAATGTGTTTTCTGCAATCATAATGAATCCATTAAACACCTATTTTTTGATTGCAAGTTTGCTAGATCGGTATGGGCAATAGTCCAAATTGCTTCGAATCTATATCCTCCACGCAGCGTACGGAATATGTTCGGCAATTGGTTGAGGGGAATAGATAAACAATTGTCTAAGCACATTCTTGCGGGGGCGGCTGCCTTATGTTGGGCGTTGTGGCTCACCAGGAATGATATTGTTTTTAATCATAAAAGTGTTTCATCTCCTATGCGGGTAATTCATATATGCTCGCGATGGCTCCGTATGTGGTCTATCCTGTAGAGGCCGGAGGACAGAGACTTTTTTATGATGGCTTCTACCCGGTTGGAGTGCTCGGCCAGGGACATTTTTTACCCCCATGGATGGCGGTGTGACCTTCGGATTGGACCGGCATCACCTTAGGCCTCTTTTATCTTTTTTCGCTACTGCTGGCGTTTTTTGCCTTTTTATTTTGGCTTCTAGTACTTTGAAACTTTGGCTGTGTGCATCTAGCTATGTAGAGGCCGGGTGATCTTTGATGCGGTTGTATCAACTCGATATTTCAATTCAATGAAAAGCCCTTTATCGAAAAATGTGGCGTGAGATGGCATCATAACCTTTAGACATATATACAAATCTCAGTTACCATAAGTAAAAATTTACTTGCAAGTTGGAAGAGATTGACCTTTGTGCCCTATGAGCGAAACAAAGTCACCAATAAAAATTAGAAATAAAAGAATAGATTGTGTTTCTTTTTTGGCGAGAAAGAATAGATTGTGTTAGAACTTGGGATTGAAGGCTTGAACCTGTGCGTGTCCAGCCCTTCCTCCCCACGTCCGCATTTTGCCTCCTTCCCCGTAATTGAGATTATAATGTTAGATCAGTGTGCGGCAGTAGTATCCATATTGCCGTCTCATGCATCTGAACGAATACAATGTTGAGCACTAGGATAATGTTGAAACAGTATCAGTTATAGTAATTATTACTAGTGTGCAATCTTGTAAATTTTTACCAGTATCAGCGCTCGTTTTGTTTGTTAAGACTGTCAATAAAGGCCAGGCATAAGCCCCCCATTTTGTATTTCATCAGTTCCCCGTGTGCTAGCTACTCCCTCCGTTTCATAATATAAGAACGTTGTGTCAAAAATGTTCTTATATTATGGGACGGGGGGAGTAGATGGAAACTTCTACTCTGAAACCAGGTGCGCCTGTCACTCTGCACGAGCTAGAGCTCTACTTGGAGATGTTCAAGCAAGGGGCATCCATCCGAGTAGCAGGAGTGTACGTTATCGCACTGCTTCCATCTAAAAACCGCACACTTTAGTTAACCGTGCTGACCTTCTTGGCTTTCGATTCACCAGCCTTCAGTCATACGATCTGGACTCTGCAGTTGCTGTCATTCGAGATGGCAGCGCGACGCTGAAGATTGACACCCAGCACCTGAGGGACATCGGTTTCCGCAGCGGCTCTATGTTTCAGTTCATCGGCGAGCTCCTGATCCGGCCGAACGACGACGTAACTCTCTCATTTCTCTGTCCTTGTCCAGCTTTTGGCACTCTGGTATCAGTCGAACAATGCTACATCAAATTTGCTCCTAACATATATCCTGTAGGCGATTCTGCAAGCACGTGTGGGCAGGAACGTCGATGGCCTTGACCTGAACCTTTACCAGCAGTCTCTCATCGTCCGACGGCAGCATGAAGCCTGTCTGCTGAGCTCCAGGAGGGGATGATCCAAAGCTGTGAAGCAGGCTCATGGCCTCACTTCAGTTACTCTCAAGTAGGGAGCGAGGAGGGCATAATTACCTGACTTGACGATCCTGCGCTTCAGTTTTTTAGATGGGTGCAAACCTACAAAGTAGTACTAGTAGCTGTTAACTGAATTTCCTCCTTGTTTTCTAGTGTGAGCAGAGCAGGTTAGCTCTATGCATCTCTGGTTGAAAGACACACCAACCCGTTCTCTCCTACCCGACTTTCTGATGAGTTGAAAGAGAGAGAAAACAAAGAAGAGGTTACCTTTGTATGTGCTGTTTTTTCTTAAACAAGACTTTGTCTGAGCTTAGGGACGATCGTTTTATTTTTCTTCATTGTACAACCATTTTGCAGTTAATTTGTAATTAACCCGTAATTTTAGAAACATGTTTTGTTATCTTCTAGATGACGTGGAATGCATACGATTCCAACTTCCAGCTTCACACATCGCGCACCGGAGGAAGGCCCCCGCGTCGTCTCCCTAGGAGGCGACTCGGGCGGAACCAGGGCCGCCGCCGCCAGCCCCTCTTTCTCCAGCGCCTCCCCTCGCCGCTGCCGGCTAACGTCGCCGGGCGAAGCCCGCCGGCGGCTGGCAGCGGCGGGCGCAGCCCCCGTGAGGCTCCCCCTCCTCCCTAGTCTGTCCGCTCCTCGCCCCCACGACGGCGACTCGATCTGCGCCCCCGTCCCCGATCTGCGGAGCCAGCGCGTTGCCCGGCCTACCCCCTTCCTCCCCGTGGGGGGCGCCGGCTGGCCGGATTCGCTCGGCCGTCGCTGGTCTCGTGGCGGTTGCGCTTCTGCGCCAGATCTAGCGGGTTCGGGTGGCCTCGCCGACCAGCTCCCCGTGCTCTCTCGTTGCGTCCTCGCGCTGGCCGCCGTGCACCTCGTCCTCGCCTTGTTCTTTGTGCGGCGGTCCGGTGTGTTGCTGCTTCTCTGGCCCTCCGTAGCTCGCTTCGCAGCTCCTGGCTGCCTAGGCTGATGGGCTACGGTGGTGGTTGGCCGACTTGCTCCGGTTGCGAGGTGGAGGAGGCATTGTCGGGTGAAAACCTCATCGACGGTGACGGCTGCAGCCGCCATTTTCCCTTCTTGAAGGCGTCGATTTTGGCATTGTTTCCCTCCCTCCCAAGCTCTCAGATCCCGAGAGAAATCTTGGACCCGGGGTTTCCCGTGTCAGATGGTGTCGACGACTATACGCCGTTTCCTCCTTGGGGGCATCTTCTTGGATTACTTCTGCTTCGGGTGGACTCGCCTCTTGCTGCTTCATCTCCACCTCGGCTTCGATCTTGGCTGGTCATTGCTCTTGGCGACTCGAGTGGAGCTTGCTTGGACGTCCTGGGGTGGCCTCGACGACACGCTGCCCTTCGACCTCGGCGGTAGTACACCGGTGCTGCGCCCTTCGGTCTCGGTGGTGCATTGCCTTCTCGGCTTCGCCGGCGGCACACCGGTGCCGCCGCTCGAACTCGGCTATCCGATGCCCTTCGTTCGCGTCAGTGATGCTTCTTGATATGCTTCTACTTTGGTGTCGCCATTCCGCAGGGCTGTGCTTCATGGTGGCCCGGATGACGTTTTGCGTGGACATCCTGGGGGGCCTTCGGCAGCACGCTGCCCTTCGACCTCGGCGGCGGTACACCGGTGCCGCGCCCTTCGGTCTCGGTGGTGCGTTGTACTTTGGCTTTGCCGGCGCACACCGGTGTCGCCGCACGAACTCGGCTATCCGACGCCCTTCGTTCGTGCCAGTAATGTTCCATTGCGAGTTGTTGTTGTGGTGGTGCCCATCTTTTTCTCCCTAGGCCTGGTTGTGGTTCATTGTCAATGGTGGAGCAAGCTGCTCAGCGGAGCTCGCTACCCGAGATGTCGGCCTTCGGGGGTTTCGGTTTGGTTCTGTTGCCAACCTTCCCCTCCATTTGTTTCTCTCTTTCTAGTTTTAGGCTTTCTCTTGATGCCTTCCCCTGTAATTTCTTTTGCGCCTTTGTGCGCTTACATGTATCTGTACTGACTGCCAAGTCACCTTCGAGTTGGAATATAACAAACGGTGGGGCTTTTTGCCCCCCGTCAATCTCGAAAAAAAAAAACATGGAATGCATACATGCCCCGAGTAGTCACATGTACATCAAGATTACCCGACTCCAGGTTTCACTAGTCCGACGGTAACATAAAATGTGAATGAAGGAAAAATATTTACATGACTGATTCACTGGTCCTTTTCGCCAAAAAATAAAAAAGACCGATTCACTGGTCCAACATCGTCTCAACCGTTATTTGATCAAGTCCATCATGGAGCACACAAAAGTTCCAAAGTCACAGAATGCACCTACTGGAAAACTGGACCGGAGTTTGGAGTTCGGAAAGGCCACCTTTACGTTTTCGTTCCACGGAAACGGAGACTAGTAATGCGCGACTGAGGAGAGGGGGACTATTGGCAGCGTGCCTGCCGCTTGGGCGGAGTCGCCGGCGGCAGCTTCGCCGACTCATCGTGGGAGGGAGGGAGGGAGCGAGGGAGCGTGACCGCCTCTGCCTGCCGATGACCGAGGAGCGTATCCCAGCGCGGCTTCCACCGGCAGGCTGAGGGTTTGCTGGGTTCCAGGACGAAGGCGACCCGCCCGGTTCAGCAGCTCCGCTGGGATGTGAATATGTGATGTAGGTACGCATCAACGCCTCGGTTTATCCCCCATCTTCGATTTCACCAACCCCTTGAATCCCAACCTATCTGGGATGCAGGGTTCGGTTTTGCTTGCGACTGTAGGTGATGAATAAATGAACATGTGCACATGCTGTCAGTATTCAGTAGTGAACGACACACTATCTCACTAAGCAAACACATTTGTCAGTTGAATTTTCTGAACTATGCTTCTCAGAGAAGACAGAAAAAGGAGAACCTGAATCTGGATTTAAGACACTGAATCCTCAATCTGGATTTTGCTTGCAATTACATGTGAGGAAAAACTTAGGGGAAAAAAAGTAAATATGAACACAGTTTGCAAATCGATGAAGTTATTTCTTTACAGCCAAATTGAATTGCGAAATTCAAAGTAAAAGCAGTAGTATTGGAGATTTTAGTCCAAACTCCAAGCCCTCCCACAATGGAATTACTCCACTCCACAAATTAAATCACAATGTATAAGCAAAAACAAACAAGACGCAAATCACAAATGTTTCCCTTTTCATCCATCTTTCTCCTCATCAGTGGCCGGTTGGCGGATGCTCTTCTAGAACTTCATTGGCCTTTGGTTGTTCGACTCTTTCATAGAAAAGAATGTAGGCCTGACACTCCAGTACCTCCTCGAGCAATACCTCTGTGATGCTCTCGTCACTTGCACGAAACCACGTGGGAGTGCCACGGCTCTCCTGCTGCTGCCATCCAATCTCGCTTGCTCTCACATAAGCAAAAAAGTGTCCGTCACACAACCTTGGTCCACTGTGTACAATGACAGCAACCAGATGATACTTGTACTCGTCATCCTCCACATGTCTGGAAATTAGAGCAAACATAGTGGTCAGAACTTTTTTTCTTGAATTGAAACCATAAAAAATGTTTTACCCACTGAAATATGACATTTAAAGAAGCTAAAATCTTCACGCACAAAAAAACGAGAAGCTAAAATCTTAGCTGTATTGAACTATTATACCTAGGGTCCATGAACTTTATTATATCAAGCGTATCCTGAAAGCTCACGCGGTCTTCCAACTTGTCTGGCCTATCTGCGTGGGAATAGTCGAATCTCTTCAGTTGAATGGTTAGTAAAGGTGCAGCCTTGCTAATGCGATACTGCACTGTTGCATCTCTGTATATCTTGTCTTCTTTTTTCTGGTTTTTATGGCACTGTTCCATTTGATTTGCATAGTCATCATGCACCTGTAGTTTTCCGTTGTTCTGATCTGTTGCTCTTGCTTGTCTATCACTGTTAGCTAGATGGCTACACTCCTCCTTTCCGTATGTTTTGTTGTCCGGCTGTTCAGGTTGTCCATTGTTGACTGTTGTATCTTCTTGGTTCAAAGAGGTGTTTCTAGCAGCAGAAGCAGCTGAACAGTCCATGCAGTGCCAGTCCACGATCACTCCAGCGGCATATAAATCCAAACAGTCATCGACTGATGCAGGCTTCTTTGTTGGTATTGCCAAACTGAGATTAAGGTCCTCAGTGGTAACTGATGTGTGCTCACATTCTTTACTGGAGACATGTTTATCAGCCTGGCAATGGAAGAGTGACTCAACTATTGTAGGTTCCTCATTGTTCAAACCATCTAGCAAGGAAACAAGCATGTTGTTGCTGTCTTCCATCACGCCAGGTCTGAAATCTGAATTCATTAAGCACATATGTAAGAAGAGCTTCTCTGGATTCAGCACACCTCTTGTGCCATTGGTATTTGTTGTCGTTATGAAGAGCTTCTGTAGTTCCTCACCAAGGTTCCCTTTCAGAGCATTGGGTCCTAACATCCTTGCACGCAGCTTATCAAGTGCAAGGAGACTCTGCAGCACTGCATTGAAGTAACACGTGTTCCCGCCATTCTGCATCCCTCTGAGGCTCTGACCCCCATACTGCCACCTTGCCCATTCTGATGATCAGCCATGTCTGCGCTTGGCCTTTCAGTCCACCCATTCCTCTCCTCTGCATCAACTTTCTGTATCTCTGATCTCTGTATGTCAGCTTCCTCTCTCTCTTTCTTTGGTCCTGCTGCACAAGTCTGCTGTTCATGCTGAATGCTATTATTTCTAACACTGTTATTCTGAGGTGGTGTTTCAGGGGCACAATTTTCATGCAAATCTTCCTCCGGACATAATTTGCTCTTCTCGATTCCACAATGCCATAGCAATGCCCAGATATAGTTTATGAATTCCCCTCCTGACTCGAGGCACTGCTTGTGTGCCTCTGCATTCCAAGTGGGGGCAATGTGCACTAGTAAATCTGCCCATACCCCAGAAAGGATCTCCCAGCATTCTTCTTGACACTCTTGATCAATCAGTTCCTTGCCCAGCTTTGCACCTAGTCGCACAACATCTTCATTCTTCATGACGCCATCAACATCTTCGATGGCCTTCTCTGCTTCTTCCATCAGTTTGTCATACCTGCTCTGTAATGAGTCACAATTTTTAAGAATATCATCACGAGCGCGTATTACGGTTTCTTGTAAGACCATCTTGGGTACACAAAAGCTGTCAGGGACCAGGTCAGGTTTTGAAACTAGCAGATATGCACAATACCGAGACAAGCTATTCGCAGTGATATACATTTCCTGGAGCTTGTGAGGCAACTTCTCATTCACTTTCTTCTTTTCTTTCGTCTTCTCATCCACATCCACAAGATATGGTTTCGATGGGCTGTAACTTTTTTTTGACGGATTCAGCGAGCTGCAACTTGTGAAGTATGACAACAGGGAGCTCAGGAACCCATGTTTGCTTAAGTCGACGTCATGGTCTTGAGCAAGCTTCATCTCGCAGAGGCTGGTTGCAATGTGCCACACCAGAATTACATGTGAGCATGTGGGCAGGTCGTAGCAGGCCCAACCGTACCGATTTGTTCGGTCACAGTCTGCACCGGACAGTGATGTGATGGCCTTGGGCCGAGAACGACCACTCCTAATGCTGCGCTCCTTATCTTCTCTGTTAGGATTATCTGGCAGATCATGTGCAATTGTAGTAGAGCTTAACGTATCTAGGCTTTTACTGAGCTTCTTCAATATTGCGGGCTTGACAAACTCCGGCACATCGATGGCGTTGCGGAGTGTTGCTCCATCGTCCTTCGTTGGCACCATTCCTGTGGTTATGTAATGGAGAAAATTCCAAAATCTTGGTCTTTTATCATATGACTCTAAGAAGACATACTGGTCAATGTGTCCATGCCACAGCTTAGTAGTTATCCTAGATCTGAAAAAGGATGATATTGTGGCCTCCATACATCTGTTTCTAGTGGGCTCTTCCTCCCTTTGTGCATAGCTGCACACAAGGAGTAACCTAGTCCAGTTTGAGACTAAGTAGCTGATCATCTCCCAGATCTCTTTAAAGTTTAAACAGCATAAAAAACATGAATACCCAGGTGATGATCACGTCAACATTGAACCCATGCACCACACGAGCCCTATCATTCTTCGGCGGCTTATAGACCTTACGAATGTCAACAGCAAGCCAGCAGACAACACCGAAGGTCGCCGTGGAGAGAAGCAGATTTGAGAAGAGAGAAGGGAACCCACACCAGAAGACCATAGGGTAGCGGGTGTTCAAGTAGTCGTTTACAAAGGAGAGTTGCAGCTCCATGACCCTGACGGCACGGTAAGTGTTGTGCTCGTCAAGGATCTGAGCCTTAACTAGCTTTCGGTTGCTGTTGAAGATTTCCTGTTGCAGTGTCACATCCTCGAACCTGCATCGAAGTAGTCTGGACAAGGCGAAGGCCAGACAGAGATCCTTCTGCTCATCCCCCTTATAATTGTACGGGTGTAACAGGTGTCTGGAACATCCCCAGATCTTGTCTAGGGTGACTTGCTGGACATTCTGGGCAGTATCGATATACAGGATATACTGAGGCTTCTTGAATTTGATGCTCTTTTCGGTTTCTCCATGGACCAAGTATTTGTATCCTTCCATATTGATAGGGTTGCAGTTCTCTGGTTTCCAGTTGCTAGTGTGAGGGCTGGCACGCATGTACGCTGCAATGATCTCTGAACTCTTGCCATGCCAGATAGAGTGGACTGCCAGACCATGCGCACGCAATCTGTACCAGATCCTCAGTGCCTGCAGAGCCCAAAGGGACCAGAGTGGAGGTGCGAACCTTGAGCCGCGTGACAAGTTCAACAAGACCAATCCAAGACAAAGCCAAGGGCTAATAAATCCCATGTATTCATAAAGTACAATATATGATGTTATTTCTTAGAAGAATTGCTTTCCCAATACCTCAACTCCTTCACATATGGAAGTTAGTATTTAGACTCAACAAATTCTTCAAAAGCCTATCCATCAAGATCACAAGGAGAAAGAACGCATTGCTTCTGAAATTAACAATGTTGCAAATATGTCGAGATTTATACATCTGATAGTTAAAGAAGACAATCGTCATTTGTGGAAATTGCCTTGGAGATTCTTCACTAGGAGCGAGCTGAAGAAGACTGGAATTCTCAAGAACTATGACTCCATTGATCTGCCATATGATGCTGAGGATCGCAAGCGAATATCAACTCATCCTCTTCCAATAAGGTCCAACACAACTGATTTGATTCTTTATAGTGAAGATGATGTTATGTATGAATCTAAGACACTTCACTAACATTTCATTCAAACGAGGATTTAGTTCACGAAGACAATCTTACAAGCCCCAACGAACCGACAATCCCCGAAGAGAAAGCACATCAAGCTGAATTTGATGAATTGGTGTAACCTTCAAAGAAGAAATGCCATTCACTTCTTCTTCCGGCAACGGTGATGATCCTTCTGAAGGAAATATGCCCTAGAGGCAATAATAAAGTTGTTATTTATATTTCCTTATATCATGATAAATGTTTATTATTCATGCTAGAATTGTATTAACCAGAAAATTAGTACATGTGTGAATACATAGACAAACAGAGTGTCCCTAGTATGCCTCTACTAGACTAGCTCGTTAATCAAAGATGGTTAATTTTCCTAGCCATAGACTGAAGGAAATATGCCCTAGAGGCAATAATAAAGTTATTATTTATTTCCTCATATATCATGATAAATGTTTATTATTCATGCTAGAATTGTATTAACCGGAAACATAATACATGTGTGAATATATAAACAAACAGAGTGTCACTAGTATGCCTCTACTTGACTAGCTCGTTAATCAAAGATGGTTATGTTTCCTAACCATGAACAAAGAGTTGTTGTTTGATTAACGAGGTCACATCATTAGTTGAATGATCTGATTGACATGACCCATTCCATTAGCTTAGCACCCGATCGTTTAGTATGTTGCTATTGCTTTCTTCATAACTTATACATGTTCCTATGACTATGAGATTATGCAACTCCCGTTTACCGGAGGAACACTTTGTGTGCTACCAAACGTCACAACGTAACTGGGTGATTATAAAGGTGCTCTACAGGTGTCTCCAAAGGTAGATGTTGGGTTGGCGTATTTCGAGATTAGGATTTGTCATTCCGATTGTCGGAGAGGTATCTCTGGGCCCTCTCGATAATGCACATCACATAAGCCTTGCAAGCATTGCAACTAATGAGTTAGTTGCGAGATGATGTATTACGGAACGAGTAAAGAGACCTGCCGGTAACGAGATTGAACTAGGTATTGGATACCGACGATCGAATCTCGGGAAAGTAACATACCGATGACAAAGGGAACAACGTATGTTGTTATGCGGTCTGACCGATAAAGATCTTCGTAGAATATATGTAGGAGCCAATATGGGCATCCAGGTCCCGCTATTGGTTATTGACCGGAGATGTGTCTCGGTCATGTCTACATTGTTCTCGAACCCGTAGGGTCTGCACGCTTAAGGTTTCGATGACAGTTATATTATGAGTTTATACGTTTTGATGTACCGAGGTTGTTCGGAGTCCCGGATGTGATCACGGACATGACGAGGAATCTCGAAATGGTCGAGACATAAAGATTGATATATTGGAAGCCTGTGTTTGGATATCGAAAGTGTTCCGGGTGAAATCGGTATTTTACCGGAGTACCGGGAGGTTACCGGAACCCCCCGGGAGCTATATGGGCCTTAGTGGGCTTTAGTGGAAAAGAGAAAGGGAAGCCCAAGATGGGCCGCGCGCCTCTCCCCTCCCCTAGTCCGAATAGGACAAGGAGAGGGGGCCGGCCCCCTCTCTCTTTTCCCCCCTCCGCGAATCCTATTCCAACTAGGATTGGGGGGGGGGATCCTACTCCCAGAGGGAGTAGGACTCCTCCTGGCGCGCCTCCCCTTGGCTGGACGCACCCCCCCCTTGATCCTTTATATACGGAGGCAGGGGAACCCCAGAGACACACAAGGTTATCCACGTGATCTTATTCTTAGCCGTGTGCGGCGCCCCCTGCCACCATAGTACTCGATAATATTGTAGCGGTGCTTAGGCGAAGCCCTGCGACAGTAGTACATCAAGATCGTCACCACGCCGTCGTGCTGACGGAACTCTTCTCCGACACTTTGCTGGATCAGAGTCCGGGGATCGTCATCGAGCTGAATGTGTGCTAAAACTCGGAGGTGCCGTAGTTTCGGTGCTTGATCGGTCGGGCCGTGAAGACGTACGACTACATCAACTAAATGCTTCCGTTGTCGATCTACTAGGGTACGTAGATCACACTCTCCCCTCGTTGCTATGCATCACCATGATCTTGCATGTGCGTAGGATTTTTTTTGAAATTACTATGTTCCCCAACAGTGGCATCCGAGCCTAGGTTTTATGTGTTGATGTTATATGCACGATTAGAACACAAGTGAGTTGTGGGCAATATAAGTCATACTGCTTACCAGCATGTCAGACTTTGGTTCGGCGGTATTGTTGGACGAAGCGGCCCGGACCGACATTACACGTACGCTTACGCGAGACTG